CGCGGGGGGGGGGGGGGGGGGGGGGGCGTTCTAGAATACAGGGTATCAAGTGCAACAGCATGCTATTTAAACTAGAGGGAAAGCATTGCACAATGATAACACAGCAACGAGTACATTAGAAATACATGGATAGATAACGTGCTGTTGACTGGAATTGTTCATCCTAAAGTAATTAGGGACAGCTGTGAGGATTAAGATACAACAAAGACTTAGGGCTAATTCCTGTTTTCATTTGTACACACCAGTGGTATGTCTACAGCTCTGTAACTGTGATTTTTGGCACTTACAGTTTGTGGTGCAGCTTGTGTGTGCCTATTGTGCATGTTCGGTAAGGCTGTGCTGCTGGGCAGCTGCACAGCAAAATAGGATGGCTCAAGGATGCGCATAAATGTTAGACCTGCCCTAGACTACAAAAACTATAATGACTGGAGGGGAAAGAAACTAGAGCATTTTGACTTATTGTGGTCCTTCTGAGTTGTTTGCAACAGAATTACTCTAGTATTTTTCTACAGTTAAAAAGTAAGTGAAAACTAAGAGCTAGCATTTTCCAAGGGGTGCCTTGAATCTATTGTGGAATACCTTGCATCTAGAAAGCTTAAGAATTTTAGTCTATAATAAAGCTTAAGTATTTATGACTAATCTAGGTATTACCCATATCTCTCTTCAGACTTTGTTTTGAAGCAGGCAGAGTGTACCTTGCATTTAATAGTCACTAGGTAAAATGGATAAGTTTCCACCCATTGAGTACAGGACCTAGGCTGGAATCCAGAGCCCTCTCCTTTCTAGGGCAGCATTCATCTCAAGTTGTACAACCTCTGGCTTACTCTCCTCCTCTTGGCTCCATATCTCTCTCTCATGGATGTCTGTGCGCTAGCTTCAAGAGAAGGGGTAAAGAGTGCTCTGAACAATTCCTGACCTGTCAGGTGATGGTTAGAGCACTTTGCTGGGAAGTAGGAGATGCAGGTTCCACCTACCTCTGGGTTGGCGGGGGAAAATCAAGAACCTGAATCTCTCCTTCCCTGGACAGTGTCCTTAACCATTAGGCTATAGGTTGGCAAGGTCTGGGGCTCCCCCTCTTCACAGGAATGTGCACAGGGCAAAACAGAATACCAAACTGCATGTAAGAAGGAAAAACTGCTGGTATGTGACTTCATGCATGTCCTTTATGTGCAAAAGCAAAACAGAGTTTAGAGTACAAACACTCCACAACCACTTTGGTTCCTCCTAACTAAAATAACAGTTAAATCAGTGGTTAAAATTGCAAGTGGACAGTAGGGGTTATTCAAAGAAGCTGCCTTCTAAAAGTGACTATGTATATTTTTGTGCCAGAGAGTGATATTGTTGACCAGAGACACATTAGCTATTAGTGTGTGCAAACAACAACTTGTCTTCTGACACAAATGGGGAAAGTTGCAAAGATACTTCCAACTTCAGAAAAGTAAATATGTCATCACTTAATATCATGTCTCAGGGAGAGGCAGGAGAAAGTTAATTTAACATGGATGCTAGTAATTAATTCTACATTTCCAAATATTCAGTCTGAGGAACAGGGGAGTTCAGTGAATGGTAGAAAAGCTGTCATTGTAGTCTCTGACAATGTCAGTCTACTCTTCATAGCTAAAACAGACTTTACATTCCATCTCCAGTTCAAGGAAAAGTGATTTAGTGGGTCAGTGCAGGTGAGGCACAGGGTGCTGTTTATCTCATTTATTCCACCAGCACTTACCTTGGGTATATTACATATACATAGGCAGACAAGGTTCTTTGGGTGAATCTGATATCTTTTATTAGACCAACTTAAATAGTTGGAAAACAATTATTAAGCAAGCTTTCGGGTTCAAAAACTCTTCGTCAGGCTAAGGAAGTTTCAGCAGTTGGTGTGTGCTCTTCCTGGATGGAATGAAAAGTAAAGAAGCCAGATGCTGGGCTGATATGCATACAAGACAGGTAGTTAGTGAAAATGTAGATTGAGGAGTCAATGGGTGAGAGACAGGCTGGGGGGGCAGGGCAGGGAGAGAAAGGGGATGAATAGTGAAGAGATACCTAGGGAGTCAGACATCAGGCGGGTTATAATGTGTCATAAATCCAATGTCTGTATTTAGTCCATGATTTTCAGTATCCAGGAGGTTGATGAAGTGGAGTTCATAGGCTCGTCTCTGGGAAGTGTTTTGTAAGTTTCCTTTGAGGATCAGGA